CCTTATGGTGTCTGTATGCTGGTATTTGAATGTAATCACACGCAGGCCTGTTTACTCCTTTGTGTACCTCACACACCCTTTAAGGTTTTGCATACAGGAATAATGTGCGACAGCTGGACTTCACAGGAAAATGCAAGACGGTGTATTTGCATAAACAAAACTGTCCACGAACATGCCGTACAAAGTTTTTATTATTGTTTTTTGCGAGGACATTGCAAATAGCACTCGAGTACAGGTCCATCAACACATTTCACACACTGTGCTTCTCTAATATCCTATTTAAATCAAACAGTTTGAATAAATTCATGATTACAAGGCCAGTTATAACATAAAGACGAAGCTGCACAATAGTAAATAGAACCGCACAGACACAATAGATGAAGTATCAGATGGAGGCACTGACCCACATTAGGTTACAGCTCAGATTGGAAGTCCTCCAGCGCTTTGATTATTATCTGCTCGTCGCTCAGATTATGTTCAATTTCCAAAATGCCAATGTTCATGTCCTCACTGGACTCGGTTTCCTCCATGAAACCCTTCACGCGCTCCAGAAATTCCTCCACAAACGCAGCGTAGTCAAGTGGTCCTGCCGAGCTTTTCTTCACTAGCGCCATGATGGGGTCAAGGAGGCTCACATAGTTGTTAATGATCTCTGAGTTGATGTCCCTTTGTGCCCAAAGTGTGAAAAAACACACATTTTATGACATGGCACCGACTCTATTTGCTGTGTTGTGTCCTCAGTTCAGTGTAAAAACTGAAACGTTGACTTTCACATAACTGTATTAGGTTAGATCAGTGGTTCTCAAACTTTTTCTGTCAGGCCCCCCCTTTGGAGAAAAAAAGGTGGTGGTGTGTGGACCTTACATAGGGGGGTCCGGGGGCAAGCTCCCCCGGGAAGATTTTTAAATATTGAAGTTAAAAGCATCAATCTGGTGCACTTTGAGAGCAAAATAAAGAGATCTATGGATACATCTCTCAACACCCATATGAAACAGAACTGTAAATAGATTTACTTTTTCTTTATGGATATTTTACAAATCAGGCTTTTAAACTTTATTCTTTTTTTAATGTCATATAGTATTTCATACCTGTTTTTAATTTATTCTCTTATTTTTTGTATAACTATAATGATCATATAAACGTGTGCCTCGGAAATAATTGTTTACATAAATGGTGACTAAAACGTTTGAGACCCACTGAGATAAGACTGAGAGAGTCCTTTAGTTCACCGAGTCTCTCAGTCTGACAGGAGAGCACTCTCCTTTGTTGTTGAAAAAACTCCTTATATCCGTTAGCATAGCTCGCTAGCACCAGAAGCTAACAACAACGATCTCCGGTACCGGTGCGTTCTCTCTCTCTCTCTCTCGCTCGCGCACGTACACAAAACGGCTCGTTCCACACACACACAGAGCCGAGCTTTAATGAAACACATGACCATACGTAATAGTGCTGTATGATATTATTTTCGAATCAATAATTTTTCAAAATATGCATTTTTTAATAAAATTTTTTAATAACCATTTTTCCTTCTGGTCTCTCACGCCCCCCCTGTCATGCCTCTGCGCCCCCCTGGGGGGCCGCACCCCTCACTTTGAGAACCACTGGGTTAGATGAAAGCAATAATATTAGGTCTAAATAACAAATATTAGGTTCAACTTAATATTAGATTCAAGATTGAAAGGTTCAAAGGTTTTAATGTCATATGCACATAAGCTACAGTGTAGAAATAGCAATGAAAATCTTATGATTCCGAGTACCTCCAACAATGCAACATATATCATAAAATAATCTGCAAGAAGTAATACACGTAAATAGAATATGATATATACAAGAACAGAATGTCAAATTAAATGTTGTACAGTGGGATAAAATTAAATACTGTTTATTACAGTGATAACTATTTAGATATAAAATTAAATTGCAAGATGACAGATGCATGTTTATGGAGGCACTTAACAGAGCTCAGGTGTTTAGCAGTGTTATTGCCTGTGGGATCAAACTGTCCCTGACTCTGGTGGTTTTCTTGCTTTCAACTAACCTAATACAGTTATGTGAAATCTGTTGACATAATACATTTAATTAAAGCCAGTTTTTCAGTGTAGTGCATAACGTCACTTTATGTACATTTCTCTACGTATTCTATCAGGTTTCCCCTCCTACTCACCTCCACTTTGTGCAGGTCTGGTTCTGCTTTCTGAACTGCTTCCTTGAGATTTTTCTGGAAATCCATCATGAAAATGACCAGTTACATTTGGGAACACGACAGCAGCTCTTATATAGCCACACATTAATGCATGATACTGCAGATTTAGAAACAATAATAATTGGAAGTTGAGTCACTATTTATTTACCAGAATGTTCTCATCCATCAGTGAAGCTGCGGTGCAAACCAGACCCAGCAGAGTGAAGAGGAAGAACAGCCCCCCCGCTGCTCCTCTGCTTCTGGATGAAACTGCTGCTGCCATCGCTGTTGTGATTCAAATTATTAGAGTCAATGGGGACTTGAAGAAATGTTCAAATAATTAGAGGTCTTTATATTTGATCTAGAGTGAGTGAAGGTTTCTGATCTCACCTGTGATGTGAGTGAAAGGAGAGCCTCTGTACCGGTGATGGATGAAGGGAATAATTTGATGCCTCACCTCAAAATGTGTTATACTCTCCTTCCTGTGACCTCGCCCCGTGTGCCTTGATGCAGATTGGCTATTGGTTAGTTGTTGATATTCATGCACTCCTTGGTATTTCTACTACGTCATGCTGTCCCTTAAGTTTCCCTTTTTGATGGAATAGTATTGGGCATTTTCTCTTAACAGGAATAAACCAGTTTTATGATCATCTATCAGAATGTGTGGAGGCTAGTCTCACCATTTCATTTTTAAGATAAGATCAATCTTTATTGATCACCTTTGAGATATGCCTGTTACTGCGTTAAAGCAGTAACAGGAAAAATACTAAATACAGTTACAGTGTATAATAAAATATCAACATTAGCTGATGAAAAGCTTTAAAAAGTATATATACAAGTAGTAAAAGTGACGCACTAACAATAAGAACGTGGCGCAGTTGAAGTTTGACCAAAATTCAAATGCAAACAAAAATTGAGAAAACAGAAGAAACACAGGAGAGGTTTTATAATCGGTTAGTGTCGATACGAGAAAAAAACTGGATGTTTAATTTAAGTGGGCAATGATCTTGCTACGATACTTAACATCTCTGCCTTTTTCTTTCACTTAATTTTCACTTTGTCAATAGTTCTATCCTTTAGTGTTTTTAGAGGCGTTCCAGCATTTTCTCTAAATCTATTTTAGAGAGGCATGCAA